CGGGTACCGGATTTTAAGACTTGTAGATTCACTAGTGGACGTTGTCCGAACAACTATTTTTACTGTCCTACCTCAAAAATTTCAAAAAATTTTCTAAATTTTTAGTGTTTCTTACTATCAAAAATTGGGAAAATTTGGTTTTTGGTACCAAACTAGTTCCAACCACTTCCGAACTAAAGTTAACCGGTTCTACTTATTACAGTAGTGCAGTTACGATGTAACACACTAACTTAGTGCTTTTTTCCGTTTCAAAAAATATCGATATCTCAAAAATCGCGACTTGTGGGGGGATCAAAATATCGCTATTTTGACCCTAAAAACCGGTCTGTTTTCGTTGTTTTTCACTGAAAAACGATATAAGACTATTAATATAGGCTATATAAGTAATAATATTAGTAATACTATACCCCTCCGGGTTTGTTTATTATCCGAATTAAGGTGCTTAACTCGGATATTCGCAGTTCGGTGAAGGGTCACTACAGTGCAGCACTGTCGAGCCCCCCACAGATTACTATCTTACTTTTTGTACCAAAAGGGATACAAAACTTGTTAACGATACCCAACAGTCGATTGTTGTTGTCGTTGAGCCCCTTCTTGTTGCTCCTTGAACTGCTTGCCGGATCGGTCTTCACCCAAGACCCTTCCGAATTGAGCGCAAATCAGCTGACCCTTCCGGATTGAGCGCAATTTATCATTAACGTGCTTAAATGCTCAAATAACCCTACAGTACAAGCCTCACAAACGGGCTACAAAATTGATCGTAACGATCCTGACTGATATAAATGCCTGTAACAACAATATATCTATCAACAACAAACGGGGGGTTGAATCACATCTTGTCTGGGGGGATGATTTCTACTGATTTTTTACTTTTTTACTGTTTTTGGTTTTTTCGGTTATTTTTTATGTTTTTTGTTTTTCTTGGGTACTATACTACTTTTTGTTTGGTTTTGCTGATATCTTTAAGTGTTTTTGGTCACAAACCACTCAGGGGATGAGGGGTTCATGATTCCCCCCACCCTTCCTGGTTCGTGAATTTTCGGTCTTAACTAGGTTAAAAAACTATTCACGGCAATCCGGAGGGCTTCCGCGTTCCGAACTACCCTTCCGCCCCGGCAGTTTAGGCCTATTAAGGGCGTTAATGTGAGCATCCGCTCGGCGCGGAGTGCTCGTTAACGGTTCCGCCGGTCATGATGTTACGAAAGAATAACACCCAGGAGCGCCATAAAAACATACATGTAACATTCGCCCGGAAGATACATATCGACGGATAACAAAACTAAGTCTTAAGACGACTGGCTAGCGTCTAAACAGAGCTTTGCATGTTTTTCACCGTCTCTACCAAGCCAGTACTTTTCGGTGGTCTTTCTTACATCAGGCTGACAAAAACGTTACTGTTCTCCGGCTTCGACCAGAACGCTCAAATTAACTGAATTACATGCAAAAATAGTGAGCTCATGGCTGGGTCTCAGTATCCCCGGACCACGAGGTCACTCCTAAAAACAGGGCTACTACTTATCATATTACTATTGTTTTTGTTCAGTAGATAAAAATCATCATCTCCATCGAAGATGGATCAACCCTTTCCCCCAACTCCTAGCACCTCATCCTTGTCAAAACTAATCGAAATATCAGTTAAATTCAAGTCAGGACATGACAGGATGCTAAAAGTTTATGTGAGTTAATAAAAGTTTCCGTCCCGAGACCCTTCCGGATTCTTGAATCCGCCGAATCAAGCTCCTTACTCTTGATTTCTTGCTAATCCGGAAGGCTGGTTCTCACCCTTCACCGTTGTTGGCAACGGCCTTGCAACTATTGTAGCAGCACAATAGTTGCAACTCGGAGCGTTCTCTGCTATTCTGTAGTTCGTTGTCGTTTTCCAATCTCGATTTTCGTACTGTTCGCAATCGCAGATAAAAGTTGTTCTGTTTTTCACTCGCTTTTTGTTAAAAATGGCCGTTTCAGCATTTCTCAGAAATGTGACGTCATCATTCGAATTTTTGAAAATTTAAAATACTAGAATATTCTAGCCCTCACCGTTTGGCTAAACGTTCCAATAACGTCGCTAATCCCTCGAAATCATCAACTCGGAAGGCTTACTGCTCAAAATTCGAATCCTGCATAAATTGCATTTTGGCCATTCTGGTCGAATGTCACATAATCGAATTTTTTAAAATTTTAAATTACCAGAATATTCCAGTCCTCACCGTTTGGCCAATCGTTCCAATAACGTTCTTAATTCTTATTAATCACCAATCCGGAAGGCTCGCTGCTAAAAATTCGAATTCTGCAGAGATTGCATTTTTCACATTCTGGTCGAATGTCACATCCATTGAGAGCTGTGCACCGTTAGATCCGAAAAAACGCCGTTATCAGGCACGCGAAACCGTAAAAAATTTGGTATAATGTCGTTATCGAGACATTTTCTCCAGGAAACTGCTAATAAAACTTTTTAAATGTTTTAAATAATCTAATATAAATTTCCCAGTGAGTTTTCTCTTCACGGCCAATCTAAGGAATGCTGGTGGCAGCAACATTGCGTTCATCTTTTGTTTGCAGGCCACGAGCATTTAAACTCATGTGGCAATCAGCAAAGAAAAAACAGCCTCAACAATATCTTACAGTTTATTGGTCGTTCGGCACCAGCTGAAGGTCCCCAGCCAACACTTACGCTCCCCGCGCTTTTGCCCGGCGGCGTCCCTGCGTTGGTTTCTTGGTCTGGGGCCGTATCTTTGAGAAACAGCCTGGCAGGTAGTCTCAATGGGACAGCACCACCCGTAGTGACTTCAATACCAACTCGCTTGACTGTTGCAGTTTGAGATACTCTCTGAGGACCGCAGGATTCTGTCTCTTGCTTCTAGAGATAAGGTTACCGGTTGTCGTTATGACTAATATCTCTGTCTTCCGTAGATCCTTAAAATTATCGGGAGTGCCCGTTCTCTTGCAGTAGGCAATGGCCTTTATTTGTTTTCCCACTTGATGAACAATACTACTATAGTAACATAATGATGATAGTGTATCAGCCCTGTTTTTCGGATTGATCTGTGGATGCTGAGATTAGTAATGAGATCTTTAATTTCGCATGCAGTTAAGTTAATTTGCGCTGCTCGGCTGACAGCCTTTAGACAGTAACGATTATGTCGACCCGACGTTACGAGAACCTTGGAAAAAATGGTCGTGACTTGAATTCGGCCTTAGTCTCAACGAACGAACTCTCGCAAGACAGTAAAACCAAGTCCAAGTAGTTTTCTCATACTTGAGTTCCTTACAGCAAAAAAGGCTGATTGCTTTTCTCGTTTCAGTTAACATTATAACGTCGTGTCGGCTAATATCGAAAAGACCAGCTCGATCTCCATTGCTTGCGGCCGCTGCAAAGTGAAAAGCCGCTGCAATTACATCCAGTTTACCAGCTGCAGAGTCTGAAAACTTTCTGTAAACCAAGTTTCTTATTGTCTTTACCTTTGCTATTAGCAGGATTATTGCAACCAGGCACAAGTATGATAGTTGGGTACCTAAATTCTCAATGGTTTACTGATGAAAAGTTTTTAGGCCTCGAAATCTTGGTTTGCATTGGTGAACTTGGAGTTTTCACACAAATTGCGGGACTCATTTTTCAATATGGGGAGGAACATTGTATTCGAGTGTCCAGTTTTTTGTCCACGCAAAATCAGGCACCGCAATTTATCATCGGAATGGGGCGAGTTATATATCATATTAAAGCCTTTTCAGTCGTAGTTAGAACGGCATTAAAAATGGCTCAGTTTCGTGAAAAACTGGTTTGAACCGTTGAGATTTAGCGTAACATCGAGCGAGTAATGCAATCGCGTAACGTTCGTTAAATAGAATTTTTTACTTTTAGATGAAAAACTTGATTTTGTTTCAAAGTAAACTAGTTTGGAATGTAACATTTAGAGTTTTTTTGGAAAAAAAGTTTTTTTAATGAAAAAACAAAATTACTGAGCAAAAAGGTAGAAAAAAAGTTTAATTTATATGTTTTTTCATCATTTTTTTTAGTTAATTCATTTTTTGTAGACAAATGATGTGATGCGATCAAGCATAAGTTACTACTTTTCTACGTAATTGTATAGTTCTCGAATCACTTCACGCACTAAAAATGACATTAATTCGAAGAAAAGTAAAAAATATATAAATTTTTTCACGAATATGGTCGGAAATTTCTGTGCTACACTTACACAGCAACCGCCTGTACTTGCTTTTTATTGGGACCCAACTATCTTGGCTTTTTTCCCGTTAAAACTTTTTACATAGAGCTCATCAGTGTTAGCATACTAGATTCCTGCTACTCGTTTTGCCGCTTACCGTGAGGGAAACGTACATGACTGGGAAGAGACAGGTATGGTTTCGAGTTGGGCCAGGAGCCGTACTTTGTTCACAAAAATCAGCAGTAATTCATTTTTTTTCGTTTATTCTACAAGCACTAACTAATTAAAAGATTGGTTTTTTCTCTGAATTGTGTTTCTGAAGCACGCTAGCGGCCATTTATTCGTCTGTTTAGGCTGACTTAGGTATGTTTTGGAGGATTAGATTTCCCTGTCCGGTGACCAGCTGTTAGTTTGCCGTTTGATTAGAGATGTAACCGGAATTGTTTTTGCCGAAATTTCGGGACCGGAATTTCCGGAGTTTTCAACTACCGGAATTCGTCTATGGTGCTGATGAGTCGCAGCACAATGCATATATTTTTGTTGGCTGGCTGTGTTTCACTGTGCTTTGCGCAGCAACAACGTCCTTTCCGTTAAACGGAACAGATTGACTCCGGAGTTTTGGGAAAAATTAGTTTTGCTTCATGATAAAAGTTCGCTTTCGAATCAATTATTTCTAAGTGTTTGAAATTTAGTTTTTTGATTGGAGATAGTAAAATCGTTCATAAATTTCCGGAAGTTTCCCGTATTTTTTTCTACTGGATTCCGAAACCGGAATAAACTGTGAAGTTTGTTGGAACCGGAATTCGGTACCTCTCTACTCTTCGTAGATAGTTACAACGTAAGTTTGAATTATTTTTCAGTATATCCTAAAATGGATGATTCGGTATCAAATGATGCAGTCAATTCATCAAGTTCTGAAAGCGAGGAAGATGAAGTAGTTCAGGAAATGAATCAAACGCTAGAAATTGTTCCAACTCAACAGATTAACGACGAGGATGAGTTAAACCAAACGTTACACGTATTGCCAACTCAGTTCCAAGAAAGTGATTCTGATAATAACGACCCAGAAGATAGCAGAGATAACATAGATCACAACTCACCGAGTAATCTCGAAGAAAATTCCGATCCTGTTAGATTTGACACAGCTAATCTTACTTATCCTGCGGATGGTAATGATGATGATGAAACGAGCCCACAATCACCCCAAATTTCCCCTGAGTCGCCAGACCTTCTGGAATCTGATAACAACGAAAATATATACTCACCGGAATTACAAGAAGCTAATAAGAATACAGGATCTGAAAATGAAAGCTCATCAAGTGAATCAGAGACAGAAGGTATTCCAGAATCAGCCAATAATTCTGAATTACCTATCAGTAGTCCACCTACGTCTCCAGTACAAGCCAGCAGTGAAAAAGAAAACACGGAACAGACTTTGAAAATTGAACCATCTGTGACCGAGGAAAAGGATGAGACTAGTGAACTTAATCAGAGTGATAACCTGAAAGATATTTTCGATGAAAATGGCGAGGAAGCAGATGACGAATCCGGCGACTCGTCGGGAGATGAATCAGAGGATGAGTTTACGCGGCCTGTCGATGAGCAAGAAACTGAACAAAATGAAGATGGATCAATTGAAACCAAAGGTAAACTTCCCTCGTCGCCTCCGTTACAACCACCGACAGTTGTTGACGAAGACGAAGAATATGACCCTGAAGCACCTGAAATGGGAACTAATGACGATGACTTTGATGATTTTCAAAATATTAAAGACGCAAATGAGCAGAATACTGGTAATAACACTGTCATCGACCACCAGCCTGATAATGACGCTGAAAATGAAATACAGCAACCTCAGGAAGTTATCAACGACATCTTCGGGTCATCAGATTCAGGCGAAGAGTTCGAAGGATTTGATGATGCAGACCTTGAACGAGAACAAGAGCCCGAAGAGGCTCCAGGCGAAAAACCTCGGCACGAGGAACGGGGCGAAGATGTGGATGATACCGTATCTGATTTTGATAAAATGATGATGCAGAAAAAGGCGGAACAGTCCAGGCGAAGAAGAAAACGTCTGAAGGACGATATTATCATTAATGACCAAGATGACAAAATCTTGAGCATGGTCAGCGAAATGCGCCGTGCTTCAGATGATGACCGTAGGCTTAATAGAGAGAACAAGGTCGCAATTGAGAAGTTGAAACTTATGAACAGTGTCATTTACGAGCTCAAGAAATGTCATCTTCTCAGCGCTTTTGTTGAGAACGGAGTGTTGCTTTCTATTGCAGAATGGCTGACACCGCTTCCAGACAAAAGTCTCCCTCATCTTCAAGTTCGCAGCAATATGCTTCAGATCCTCGAATCATTTCCCGCTTTGGACTCCTCTATGCTACGTGAAAGTGGCATTGGCAAAGCCGTAATGCTGCTGTACAAACACCCGAAAGAGACTAGAGAAAATCGAATAAGGGCTGGTAAACTTGTGAATAAGTGGGCACGTCCTATTTTTCAGCTCACTGCCGACTTCGGAGCCATGACTAAGGCAGACAGAGAGCAAAGAGACCTGGAAAAGATGCCACCACAGAAGAGAAGAAAAGGTAACAATGACAAGAAACGCGATGAAGATGATGAAGATGGACCTAAAGGACCTGGAGATGCCGGGTTTGTGCTAAGAGCACGTGTGCCACAGCCTTCTTTCAAAGACTATGTCGTCAGGCCAAAGTCCAAATTCGAAAGAGATGACGACGACGAAGATGATGATGAGGAAACGGCTATGCCAAAACCGATCAGGGCTCGTGGTACGAATATAACCGGCAAAACAAGGCTGGACAAATACATAGCGAAAGACAGGGAACGCAAGACGATCGCCAAAAATACTCACGCTGTTAAAGTCAATTTGAACGGAGGGAAGCTCTGATGATGATGATGATGAAAGCGTTCGCTGGAAGTATCGAAGCAGGCAGTAAAGATATGGTGCTAATTGACCTCGGATAGACTTGTTGTCGTAACCATATAATAAGCTGGCATCCAGTCAGTCATATCAGCGAGCAGATTGGAATGTCTACAAATCGGATCTTTGGGAGAAAAACGGATCTTTGCGATTTGCTATGTGTTCATAGTCTTTTTCTTTTTTCCTATGGATAACTATTTACAATTTGTTTGTTATCTTAAATTAGTTATAGTATGATCTTTCGTAAAGCAATCAAAAATTGCTGTAACTTACTTATGTTGAAATTAAACACGAAGTTGAATTGTTTTTGAACGTAAGTTGTCGGTACGTATGCCAGTTTTGGGATATCGGTATAGGCAAACTGCTTCAGAACTGTTTAGAGAAAATTGTTAATTCGAAATCAAACCTTCAATTGAATTCTTTTTCAGGTTCAGCGATGATTTTCATAACTTTTTTAGAGACTTGGATTTTACATAAGGATGACCGCGATTATATTAGACTTCTGAAACATTTTCGATGCCATCTGAATCAATAAGCATATTCTGGCTGAAACAAAATCAAAGCCGAAGCATGGTGAGTCCCTAGCTGCTATTCAACATAGGTTTAGTGAAATGTGTTGACAGTTTGTGGAACAATTATAAAATTATCGACGTAAAAGCCTAAAAAGCGTTTTGTAGATGCATCTAAAATCCATGCATGGTTAGATTTTGGACCGATATTTTGAAGCTGAACCGATGAGCTTCATTTGATAATTTCATATTTAAGGCCTATGTTTCAGTATGCAAGGAATATATATGTCGACTCTGAGAACGAACGAATGCTCCGATTCAGAACTACTGCATATGTGTACCACTGAGACATCTAGACTGGTCTTGGACCCTCTGATAAACTCACTGGAGACACTTAGTTGCTGATTGGTAGTATCGAACTCTTTCTGGGCGATTCAAATGATTACGAAGCGGGAACCGATGGTGTCTATGGGAGTGAACGATGGCAGTAGTCGTATTTCAACTCCCTCGCCCTCATCATCCTGCTGTTCTTCCTCAACTGTGGACCAACTCCAGTTTGCCATCTCTTCACCACCATCTACTGTGTCATTTCCCCGCTCAATGGGAAACTCTTCTGGCACACATAACCTCCTGGACGGTAGAGGTGAGAGTAGCACAAATTTTTTTTTGTAGTGTAATTATTTGAAGTTAGTTGATCGCAAGCTAAGACAAGTATTGAGCATATGTATATGAATTTCAAGCTTAAGTTTTAATTTAACCGGGAAATTGCATTTCTCTGAGTGATTGACATTTTCCGAACTGTCGGTTGGCTGTGTGCCGCTTACTATAATCTTGGCCTATTGTTGCGAATAACCGCTCTGCTTCGGTGGTGAATATTATAGTTAAAAGTGTTTTCTCGGCTATTCAGACACCACCCCCCCCCCCCTCCCCTCCCCTCCCTTAGATGATGAAATATGAAAATCATTTTTTCACAGCTGCGAAGCGAGTGTGTTAGTACGAACCTATTTTCCAACCTAATTCGTAAATATTGGTGCCACTTTAGGGGCACCTTTACAGCTTTTTCATAGCATTTGTTTTGACATTCGAATAATAATAAGTTAACACAGTTGATGCATTTTTAATTGATCAAATGAATCGAAAAAGGTATTTGTTTCAAACAAAACAATAATGAAAACTCGACTTAAGAAATTTTCTAACTCAACAGATCTCGCAAGTTTTTGAAATACATAGTTTATTTGTTTCATGCAAAGTTAGTGTGGATGCCTTCAGTTTGTTATATTCCAAATTATTACCTGAAAAATTTGTATTATTTGTATTAAGTCGATTGAGTTATTTGGAAAATTATTTGAGTTATTTATTCCTAGAGGTACCTAAGTTAAGCGGAAAAAAAACAGATCCGTACGCCATAGTTTCTTCCCTTTCATGAAGTGGTCGGAAAAAAGATCCTCTGAAAGTCAGAAATTTGAATTGCATTGAAAATCCGACCAATTAGTTTTATCAATTGGAATTTAAAATAAATGAATTCTATTGGTGAAAAAACTAAATGACTCGCGAAATGTCAATTTTTGTGAACTGATGCTAACGATCTAAAACAGATCTGTTTTTCGTGGAATGGGTGATTTTGAAGAAAAAATTAAATTGAGTAAAAAATGTCAAGTTTGTCTTTTGAATAACATAGTTTAGCCATCAAAAAGAGACAGAATTTATGAACTTCGTACTTTAAATGTAATATTGACCAGGTCGGTAAATTACCAAAATCTTTCATAATAACAGAATGCTGTGATAGGGAAGTTTAGGAAGGGTTAGGGAGAGTAGTATCTGGTACATTGTTGCACCAAGTTCTTAAAGTGATAACATATGGTGTGGTATGAAACTTCCTAGTCTTTTTAACTAGGCTTACAGGACCACCCGCAGATGTGAAACGCCTTGTTCTCCCTTTTGCGTACTTCTTTCTGGGGCGTGGAGGTCGCGATGTTTAGGAGGAGGGCTTGTGTGCTCTAATAAAACCTCAATTCTCGCTCTCATCTTTTTCTGTAAATCACTTTTTCTGTTTCTTAGTTCGCTATTAAAAATCCTCAAGTTTTCATTTCGAAGTGAAAAATAGTGAAAAAATAGATATATATTTTTGTGAAATTGACTTAAATATTGCCCATATTTTTGGTAATGAAATGATGATTTTCGACGCGCGAGTTTTCATACTAAAGTGCTGCCACCAGAATTGATTGCAATTTCCGCCCCAAAACAACTCCATAAGTGGTTTCAGTTCGCTTTAATCACTATGATTGAAAGCGTACTTGGAACATGGTTGAAAAGTCTCTTGCGTTAGTATTGTTTTTAGTTTATTTTAATTATCTTTTTGATTTTTTTTCTGAAATAATTATATCTGAATGATAATTTCTTAATTTAGCTGTCATTGAGGCCGCTGCTTGAATTTTTGTATTTAACCTTCCTTTCGTATCGACAGTGGATGCGGTTTTCTAGAACAGAGAGCAGAGAAAAAAGGAAAAAGTGTGAAGTCTGTTTAAATGTGGATGCTTTTGTTTCTGTTCGGTTTGGACTTGATTCGTTTCTGCTCTGAAGTAGTGAGACAGTACGCCACCTGAGCTACTGGGTCGACTTTCTTCATCCTTCTAACCGGCTATCGGCACTTTTTTCTTTGATCTTCTCTTTAAAAACTATTTGTTCTTTTTAACGAAGCCCAATTAAACATCCGCTACGTTTCGCTCTTGTTATAGTAATAAAGTTAAATTGGTGGTTTTGTAACTTGATCAGGGAGCAATGATTTAGTATAAATCTCATCTCTAGTTGTGATCTAGACCGATTGGAGCAATGAGTGCTTTACCTCATCATTATCAGTACGACTATAATAACTACAACAGCCAGTACCAATACTCCTATAATTATAACAACTTAACTAGTAATAACCACCATATCCAATGCACCTACACGTGCCCCCCGTACCCTTACACAGCAGAGTGTCTGCAGCTACAAGACTACTACAGCTACTATTGTTCTAACTATCACTCTGTATATTCTCCAGACCTCCAACACCTCTCGCCCTCTCCTGGAAATGGGAGCAACAGCAGCATCGCCGGAGTCATGTCGCTGGCATCAATGGCCGCCGCAACGCCATCCCCCACCCACTCTCTCCACGCAATGGGGATGGGGGGAAGCAACATCTTCATCACGCCCCCCTCACATCACATGCACTCGCCCCCCGAAATAGCAGGTATGGGGGGACTCAGTCCGGAAGGAATCGAGGGTGTGTCCGCTCTATCCCCATCGTCACTGAACATGGCAGCTGTATTTGCGAACTCGGCTCATCATAATACCCCAATGGGTGGAAGTCCTGGAAACAATTCGATGGGAGTGAAGAATCACCAGATGTGTGGAGAGTGTGGTAAAGTGTTCACTTCGTCCAGTGCTCTGGCCAAACACAAGCTCACACACAGTGACGAGAGGCGCTACTCATGCAACCTCTGCCACAAGAGATTCAAACGGCAGGACCACTTGTGAGTAGTCCGTATTATGGTTAAAGCCAATTTTTTTGACAAAATCATTTTCAGCCAAAGAATTTCAACGACGGCAATAAAAAAAATGCTCATTTTGATGTCGGAAATCATTTCTTTGCTCATTTCACCTCGTAAAAACTGTATCTTGTTTTCTGATCAATTAAGTTTCTCAAGGCCACTGGTAATGCCAACAGTTTGGTAGTTACTATAGACTATCACCAATTGCTATTTTTAAAATGAGCACCAAGAAGAAAGTTAATCTTTTTAGAGAAAAAATTGAAAAATATTTTAATCAGATGAAAATTGGCAATGAGCCTGAAAGTAATTCGTTCGCTTAGAGAATGTCAGACCTTGAATTGATTTCCTACCTACCTCTTTAATGAGCTTTTTTAATGTGAGGTGAGCTTTTACCTAGCCTTTAACTTCAAGGCTACCACCGCCTGAACGATTTCGACTTCAATAGTGGAATCTTCAGTCCTAAAATAGAGCTTCGCTTATTAAAATAACAACTTAGTCTAGAATATAGAAAAATGATAACTAACAGACTATCATTAGTTTGGCCAAATTTAGTTCAAATATCCTTTGACAGATCCTCTGCGAATATCAGTAAAGAAATTGGTATCACTGCGGATTTTCAAAAAATTTCGAAAGTTTTATTCACCTTTTTTTTTAGGTTCACCAAATAGTTTTCCGCCTAGCTAGGTTCACCTAGCTTTCCGAAAGCACTATCAAGAAATTTTTTTGTAAATGCTGTTTTTGGTCATTATTTTTGGAACGTTTTGGCCAAAAGTTTAAGTTCTTTTTGGCCAGCGCTCCCGCCTCAAAATTATTATATATTAGAGCCATAGGCGCCTTAAAAATGTACGTTCTCAGAAATGGGTGTTGTGACTAAGTACTTACCTTCCTAAATCGGGTCTAGGACGGGACTTCAAGCCGAAATTTAAACTTTACAAGCACCTTAAATCAACGCTACATTTTCATCAGTAAAATAATTCTTTTCAAAAATTTAAGCAAGTTTAGTTCATATTAAGCGTTCTTCATAAGAATGCGCCACTTGAAAGTGGCATCAGACAGTTAGATCAGCCAGATTTTAAAATGCATAAATTATATTTTTAAAAAATCCCTTCAACAACAGTTTTCAAACTAATCATTTTTTTATTGACAAAATGTTGGGCTTGAAGTCCCTAATTTTACGATTTGGCTTTAAGTCCCGCCGGCTTGATGTCCGGCAGCACCTTAATCGGCCCCTGATTTGTATTATGAATCAGCTCGTCAGGTCATAATTGCACCTACTCATCCTGTTGTTGCATGATTTCCGTTTAGGTTTAAGAGGTCGTTAAATCCTTGATATGTCCTTCTGTTATGTCTTTTATTATTGTGTGATGTGGGCTTTCAGAAATGGGCACAAATTGACTCATAGTGCGACGAAGCCGTTCGTGTGTTGCGAGCCAGAGTGTGGAAAGAGCTACTGCGACCAGAGGCAGCTGAAGAGACATTTGGCCAACCAGCATGGCAAGCTACAGGTGGACTATGCACAGCTGCGCAAGAGCAAACTCTTCTCGCCCTCGAACACCACTGTGAGTACTGCTCATTAAAGTGAAACACAATGAGGGGAGGGGGATTAAGAACAAAATAGTACGGTAGAAAAGAATGTAAGAAAAAAAGATCATGAGATTTGACCGATCCTATATGTAACTTTTGTTTTCATGTTCAATCTCTTGATTCCTGCGTTTTTTTGAAATACGTCTGTTTTTATTGAGACTTTATCGGCAAGCGAAGGTGAGAATCTTTTTCTTGAAAGAGTTCGGAATTTTGCCTTTTGAGTCAGTACTCAAAGTTTCATAATATTAATTTAGGTGGTCGATTTTAATAATTGTAATTTAGCTATAGATGTACGAAGTATCTGGCTGCTTTGCAAACATCATATAACATTTGAGTTAAGTTATTTTTAAAGAGTCGATGAACGCGAAATTGTAGGGGTCTCGAAAAACTTGATCGACTTCTAATTTCGAAAATGGAATTTTGAAATTAGAAATTGTGTGATAGCCTGTATGTTGGCTATGATTTTTTTACGAATCCGAAAAAAATTTCAACAATTGTTGGCACTTTGTCAGGAAAACGGACTCGATTAAAGTATTGATGCTAATTTTTAGGCGTTAGCGCAAACACCATAGTTTTTTCCTGTCCCGAGAAAATTTATGTGAACATTCATTGCGGGATAAACTGATTTAAAGATTTGAACATGATGCTACACTCAATCAATGGCCAATAAAAGTTATAATTTTATTTATTTGATGGAACGTTCCAACCAGAAGGCTTGTAAAAAAAAAGTGGTTCAAAAGTTTTAAAAAGTGGAAAAAAAGCTAATATTTCGTCGCGTGAAAAATTTGTCAAAAGGTTTTGAATAAAAATTGGATTTATATCATTGAAACAATTTCGAAAACATGCTGATCCAGCTTTTGTTGTTTCGAAGGTTCAATTGAAGGATGTGACATTTCATTTGCTTAGGTTTTGTGGTCTTTTGTTTTGGTGTAGTTTTCTTTCTGACGGAGTTCTGATTTCTTATGATTGTTTTTCCAATATATGTTTTTAGAAGAGCTCAAAATATGATCTTCCATTACACAAGTAGAAATAACGCCAACAATTGTATAGACTATGGGATTCGAAGCGCATTTTTGGATTGTATTTCGCCGGTTTTGTCTAATTGGCTTTTTTTTTCAGCTAACATCCATTACAAAGGTTTCTTAAAATCTATTGTCATTAAGTTGTTTTTTTTTACGTTGGCAATAAGCAAGGGTTATTGGACTTTTTTTCATTAAAATTAGACTTTTCTCAGGTGAATAACTTGTCTGAAAGAATATGCGAATCATTCAATAGCTTATTGTATTCTCAGCTCAATTCAGGGATTGATTTGGCCAAATTAGTGTACCGGTATAGGATCTGATTGGGAAGACAAAGGTCAAAGGAAGAGTCCAGTCAGGTGCTGTACTTTTCGGAAATATATATTTTTCGCTTTCAAAAATTTGTTGGTCAGATTATCGTTCGTCGGCTCATATCTTGTCGGGTTAGACTCACAGCACGTATGTTTCTGAAGTCTTAAGCCTTTTTTGTTATTACTGAGGATAATTTTGGTTCGTTCCTGTAATATTGAAGGCAATTGAATATCCGGAATTTTTGTGATATATTTTTCTTACTCAAACGAGCGTAGTGTAATAGTATGACTACTTGTGTTCCAACCGAAGGCAAATAAAAAATGTTAATTTTGTTTCATTTATGCTATTATCACGATATGTAGCATTGGAAATTCTATAGCATTTATTCTATGCGTTGTTGGAGGCCATTGTTTGCTGTTCGTTAATCGGCCGTGGTGCAGAGGGATTGACGTGAGGTTTGCAATCTACTTGTTGAAGGTTCAATGCCGCACTTAGCGCTAGGTTTATATCTATATATATTTTTGCCGCCAACCATTGGCATTGTATAAGCATCTAAAGCTGCTTTTTTGGTGGATAGTGTCAGCGAATTTTCAATAGCTTGTGGCGCAGAGGCGAGAATGTGGCACTCGAAATATTGAGGTCGCATTTCGGCATCCGACACAGCTAGTTTTACTAATTAGAGGTTGATTTCTACTTTTTTAAATTAACTTTTCAGAGCTGATTTTTGTCGTTTTCTTGCTTGTGTTGGCGTAGTGCAGCTTCGCCTCTGTGTAAAAACGTAAGATTTGATATCATCTTCCTTCAGTTTTTTTTTCACCCCTCGACCAGTTGAGTTAGGACCGAGTTGGTTAACTCATAGAGTAATTTCGGATAGGGTACACCGTCTGCTCGTCACGCTATCTTATTTTCGGCCGGATAGATTCGTGCAACTTCTTAGTCTAATACCGATCCTAATCTTACTCTTATACTATCTAGTCTCAGGTTGTTTAACTAGTCTCTGCTAGGCTCAATAGATCTAGGGTATACTGGTTTATTGCGGCTGCTGAAGTGCTCGGGAGAGTCCAACTAATTTCTAAGTTAAATTCAAATCTCTCTGGTGCTGAAATTACAAGTAACTTCAGCACTTACAAATAAGTGGGTTGTTAGTTAGATGGATCATGATTGGTTAATATTAAATACTTTACATTGGTAAAATATCTAATTTATCCAATCATAAAATGTAGTTTAGATCAGGTTCCACCCATCCGGGTTTTACAGAGTTTTTTAGAATAGTTCTTCTGCAATTTGAAGGATGGATGATGGACGTTGGTTTTTGGCGAACATCATTTTCTTCCGTTTCCTCTTTGTTAAAAAAGTTCCAGGAAGCTGGAGTTAGAGACATAAGACGTTGTGTCTTCTAGTGACAACGACTAAGTCTTTGCCACAAACTCAAATCTGATTTCAGAATGGTTGGCTATGTCAGGTTTTTCTGTTCTGCGTGGAGAACTTCTTTTGTGTCTGATCTAGTTTGGGAATGGCGTGGAGATTGTGCGTGGAGGGGATGCCTGGTTACTCGGATCTGTACGTATACTTGAACATCGAGGTGGTCATTGGTCTAGTTCAATGAAGTCCTTTTCTGCGAAGTCAAGTCGTACTCTAAATCCTTTGAGTTGTGATTGTGAGTGGCATATCGATTGTGGTTGGTCATTCTCTCTCGAGTGTAGTGGGATCTTTAGATGTTCGTCCTTGGTGTTGTATTCTGATCTATGTATTGCATAATGTAATTTACATTTTATAAAACATTTATTAGTTTAATATTTTTTAATTATGATTTTAGTTAGTTGTTTTCACAAAAGCTTTTTGTTTTAGTTCGGTTATTTTGAAGAGTTACTCACACTTGAGTAGCTCTTATTAAAAATAGAGGTGTGGTCACAAAGCGTGGATGTAGCGCGGTGGGTTAGGCCGGCTATAGAGCATGCTCAGGACGTCCTTCCTGGTGGGTTAGGCCAGGAGTGGGAGTATGATTTCATGCGGTTTTTGTGAGGGGTCCTTTTATGTGACAACGTTTTATGTTGGGTTTGTTGTGGTTTTTCTTATGTCTTGTTGGTTATGTCCTTTTTCCAAAAAGCAAATTGTTCGTGGTATGGGTTTGTCTTTCGACTTTTTTGTGTTTTATTATTTCTTTCTTAGACTTTATAATAGTCTTCAAAAGAATAAATTATCCAGTTTTAAACTGGGTTAATCCGGTTTGGGTACCGTTGGTTTCCTTTTCTTAGTCATGCTGTTATTCTATGATTTGTGGTATTTAGTAAGCTGCGTTGGTTAGTTTTGTTTAGTATATGATTCCTTTCCAACCGGGTTAAAGGAAGGTTTGAAACATGTTATTATATGTTAGAGTTGTTGAGTGTGAAAACTTGAAACTGAAATTCATTATTTTAAACAATTCTTCGTGGGCGAGCTGTGCGAGTGTGGATAGAATTTCTGTGCGAATGAATGAAAATATCAAAAGGTTAGTACTGCAATTGCATTTTATTAATTTACTGCATAGAATTTGGAAATTTACTGCTAGTTATGGGGGAATTTTAAGTTACAAATTTTCATTATAATTAGATTTACTGCTTGTGGGGAAAATTTTAGAAATGAATTTACTGCATTGGTATTAAATTTATAAATTTATAAGTGTAAGAGATTAATAGAATTTTTGAAATCTGTTTGATGAAATTTGCGATTTTTATTTGTCTTTTGTGGTTTTTGTAGGTGATTGTCGGATGAAGGCTAAAAATCTAAAAAAAACATGGATAAAGTATGGTGAGTTTTTTAATATTTCAATTAGTTAGTTATATTCATTTAATTCATACTTACCTGTTAGTCGTCGGGGAAAAAACCGTGGGGGAAGATGTCGTGAATTAGTTCTGAAGTTGTTAGTAGTTTAGCTAAGATGCGGATGATATTTTTAGTCTGAAGCAGTGGCCAAAGCAATTGGAGTGCCTTGATAGTGGTTAGTTCTTCAGTGCCAACTGCAAACTCATAAGGTGTGTTTTGGATTAGATTATATAATTTGTGATTGAATTTAGTGTTGTGGATGAATTCTAAAATTGGGATTTCTATAGGTTGTACAAACTCGTGCGGGATAAGGAAGGGTCGGGATTCTTCGGCGTTGAAGGTCTTGGTGATGGGACAGAAGATGTACATTTGGGTTATGGGGTCATAATTACGAAGAATACCATGAAGGTTAGTATCTTTAATGCAATATGTGAAATTTAGGAAAAATGGTGAAGTGTATTTGGAATTAATGAATTGAAAACGATGGTGTGGTTGTCTAGAGGGTGTGTGTAGGTCAAAGTGATTTTGGATGAAGCGATAATAACTATATGTGTGGGTTTGTTTAGTGCGCAACATAATATCGTGTGAGCAGTGTAAATCTCTTTCGTGTGGTGCAAGGAAATGAAAGGTTAGTGAAAATATTTGGAAGCGTTCTTTAAAACTTTCGTATGCTTGTGTTTCTGTTAGTGCTTCTGAAATAATGTGATCAAACTTTCGGTCGAAGATGTTTAGTGTAAATATATATGGTGTCTTGATGAAAAATTTCTCAGTAATTTGTGGATTAGCGAAGCGATCGTCGTCTAAGAATTGATCTTGGTTAGCTCTGATGATGTTGTGATCAT